AGAGTGGTTGAAAGTGGACAGTGTGTGGTGGGGGTGAGTATAAGGAATTGTCATTTCCTATGGTCAGTATCTACATGATGTATGACACCTTGCCTGGATTTATCAAATGCTACACAAAAAAGTCTAGTTAGCTTCAGTCTAGGTAACATCACTGCATTTTCCTCTGTCTCCTTCATCTGCTTGCTTATTCTAAATCCACAAAGCTTAATTTGCTGCTCAGGGCTCTACTACACTGATTTGTTTTCAGTCTTCTCATCTCCTTGCTGTTCATTATCATGCCACTGTTATTTCAATACAAATGAAGGTCATACACTGTGTGTTCGCACCAGATGCTTGGGGTGATTTCTTGCAGTTAGTCATACAGCAAACAAGACAGCAAATTACTAAGACAAGGAAGAAATGTGGTGCTTTTGCCACCTTCAGGAGTTACAGATTGTTTTAAGCTATGAGCATAAGACATTAGTGGTTCTGACTAGAAAGAGAAAAAAAGATCAATCTACTGCATTTTCTGTCATCTGCCTATGTATCCTCAGTCACTGCCACTTCATTTTTCTGTCTTTTTTCAAACTGTTTTTAGTGTTTTTCTCCCCTCCCTTTCATGGTCCTGATGGGAGCTTTGCTGATGGCAGGGCTTCTCTCAGAATCTTCCATCCAATAGAAAGCAGCCAGTTCTTCACAGTGATCTATGGTGTTTTTCCCGAAGTTAATTGTCTTGGATGAACTTCATCCTAGACAGAAAAAAAAGAGCAGTTTTATTTCTCAAACATCTGGTTCTATACTTCAATAGCTTTTGAGCTGAGACGAGATTGAAAATACGGCTCCATGCCTCTGCAGTTACCATAACCAAGAAGTAAACACAAGATCTAACCCTGAATTCTCTCTCTTCACAAACATTTCATGTCTGTGAAAAACTAGCTGGACTATGACAATGTTCTTTGCTTTCTGCTGCTGAGACCTAATAGAATGTACAGTGTATCCCAGCTACAGGAAAACTTAAAAATGGATAACTTTTTTCCTGTCCACGTTATCTACTTAGTCTCTTTGCTATCTGTATACTACAGTAGGACAGTAAGGGAGTCTGTCCTCAACCTCCTGTTCTCCTCCCTACTCTTTGAGGAACTCTGCCTGTGAGCAACTATTGCCCGCTGCAGAGTGAGATGGCGTCTGCCCAGCATGAGTCCTGCTTCCTGCCATAGGAATAAAAGGATAGTTGGAATTCATTATGCTGGGGCTGGACGTTTCCTGCATCCTCCACAGATTCAACTTATGAATCTGGAGCATTTTCAGAGGGAACAACAGTGTATATCTCATACTGTGAATGCATTGGGTCATTTCTGTCATTTCATAAGCGTTCACCAAAAGCCTTCAGCACTAAATGATTGAAATGACTTGACTTAGAGCAGCTCTGAAACAGTCCAGAATGTCAGATGCAAAAACTGATGCTTCCAGCAAAGAAGGAATAGCAGTGGGAGGTATCCAGACTCACCATTGCAACTACCTGATCTTTACAATCACCTTCATCCCCCACTATTCCACAGTGTCAGCAACACTGCAGTTGGTCACAGTGAAAAAGCTCTGCTTTTCCTATCATTAGCTGTGTTAATAAATCTGGATAATATACTGCTTTCTCAGCCAGTGTTCAGTGATAAAATCAACAAAGCAAAGCATCCATCTGGAATCATATCACCCCTCAGGGTTTCTGTTTTATTTACCCTGTTTCTAATCAGCCCTTAAAGTTTATCTGGTTCCACTCAAGCAGCAGATCTTACAAATAATTCTAAAATGAACCATGTTGCTTCTCTGACATAGAATAATGTCACAAAAGATCCATAAATGGTGCTGGAAGCTCCTCTATTTCTGAACTGCAAGACTGTGCCATTATTTTGACCTAGGCAATGCCAGAGTATGTCTGCAAGAACAAGTAGTTGTCACTGACTTTTTGAAGAGCTTCTGGGTCTATGTGCTGTATGTGGTCTGTATTTGCTATGACAGCAGCACCTGATCTACTTCTGACAACGATAAGACAGCTTGACAACTTCAGATGTTAGAACAGCTGTCCAGGTAGCATGTTACATCATGTCTCCTTTGGCAAAAGGAAGAAAATCAGGAGAAGAAGAGCACATATTTCATGTTTGAGAGGGATCAACTGAGAATCTGGAGCAACTCTTCTTTTCACACATAGTGGCTGAAGATAACAGCTTTGAAATCATACGAAGAGCATCTAGTGAAGTCCAGAGCAGATCTCAGTATTCCTGTGGAATGTCAGAAGCTTTCCAGCTATGCCTCAGAGCAATGCAGCACCAGATCCCATATTCTTTCAGATGCATTCTGGTCTGGGATCGCTTTTCTTAATCTGAGAGCTGACACTGCACATGGTAAAGTCATTTGTTGAAGCCTCCAGGGTGGCCTCTATATGTGAGGGAAGATCTCAGCAACGAGAAATTCTTAAGTAGGATTCAGAAAGGTGATTAGTAAGAGATGCTGAATATTTCCCTTCTGATGTACAAATGAAAGGGATGAGTTTGTGTGTGTGTGTGAGAGAGAGAGAGAGAAATCAGATTCACATTTATCTCCACCAACAGTCATACATGGGAACAGGACTTTCTGAGACCAGTAGCTTCAAAGCTGTAAGTGCATGTATGCTTATGAGTGGACCCTAAAATACTGGGAGGAAAATGTTTACTGGCTGGACTGTAGCTCAGTTGCTATGACACTGCTTTTTTCCTGAGCTACATGTCATGGGTGAACATCTCTAATTTTCTGTGGCAGTACTCAGCTAATTTAGTGAAGACCTAGAAATAGAGTTCACTGATTCTTGCTTGTGTTGGGCTGGAATAGGATGAGAGGAGGCTGCAGTCTACAGGGAATGTTACAGATCCCAGTCTGTTCCTGAAAGAACTGTTTTCCCCGCTTTCTAGCAGATATCTATAGAATTTTCTGACCTCACTTCCCAAGTTTACTGCACTCAAAGTTTAAACTGTGAATTCCCATTGCCTGGGATCTTAGAAGTGTCAGGTATCACAAAGTTCTTTTCAGATTCAACAAAGTATGTAATTTTATAAGGGTCTATAAAACATACAAGCCAAAGACCTTCTAAATTGAACATTTCAGGCCAGAAAATCTTATTGAAGGCACTAAAATGCATGGAATTTACTGCAGTATTTAGTGATTTATAACAGTAATTAGACCAATAATATCAGCACTTCTAGATTTCTCTTGTATGGGGCATGCTGGAGTCAGATCAGCCAGCTCCTCTCAAGCCTGAGTTCATAGTTTGCAGTGCTTCCACCTGACTATTGGTTCTCTCGTAAGTAGGTGTCACAGTGACCTGTCAATTCGCATCACCCACAGGAGCATCCAGCTGTGAAATGTATTGTATCACGGAGAGCCACGTCTTTCTCTTGAAGCAATTGCAGTGCTGGTTTTTGGGAAGAACCTCATTATTATGAACAAGTGTTTTGCTGCTGAGGCAAAGAGAAACAATGTTAATAAATGAAGATGGATAAAAACAAAATTTGCCTTGAAGTCTTTATTAGATTACTGACATTTTCTGTAATCCAGGTTGAGGTGGTGGTGGAGGCTGCAGTTCACGGTGGTTTCCAAATCTCTTTCTAACAACTAGACATAATAGTCCTTGGTATTTTGCCTCAGCTGTCTTCAACAACTGCCTTTAAATGCCATTAGCCCTATGGAAAATTGTTCCTTGTAGTCTTGTGCACCAACCCCACCTCTGACATGAGAGGATGTATGCAGGGGATCACAGAATCATAGAATCATAAGGTTGGAAAGACAAGATCATCTAGTCCAACCGTCCTCCCATCACCACTGCTACCACAAGGTACTAATCCATATCTGTTAGTTCCTCATCCAGACACCTCTTGAACACTGCCAGGGATGGCGACTCCACCACCTCCCTGGGCAGCCATTCCAGTGCCTGACCACCCGCTGAGAGGAAAAGAGTTTCCCTTATGTCTAATCTAAACCTCCTATGGCACAACCTGTGACATTTCCTCGGTTCTGTTTGTTGCCTGGGAGAAGAGGCCAAACCCCTCCTCATCACAGCCTCCCTTCAGGAAGTTGTAGAGTGCAATGAGGTCTCCTCTGAGCCTCCTCGACTGAACAATCCCAGCTCCCTCAGCCACTCCTCATAAGACTTGTGCTCCAGACCCCTCGCCAGTTTCATTGCTCTTCTCTGAAACATTCCAGGGCCTCAGTGTCTTTGTTGCAGTGAGGGGCCCAAAACTGAACACAGTACTCAAGGTGCAGCCTCACCAGTGCTGAGTACAGGGGATGATCACCTCCCTGCTCCTGCTGGCCACACTGTTTCTAATGCCGGCCAGGATGCCGTTGGCCCTCTTGGCCACCTGGGCACACTGTCAGCTTATGTTCAGCTGAGCATCAACCAACACCCTCAGGTCCCTTTCCTCTTCACACTCATCCAGCCACCCTGCCCCAAGCCTACAGTGCTGCATGGGGTTGTTGTGCCCAAAGTGCAGGACCCGGCACTTGGCCTTGTTGAACCTCATGCCATTCACCTCAGCCCAGTGATCCAGTTTATCTAGATCCCTCTGAAAGGCCTCCCTACCCTCAGGCAGATCAACATCATCTCCCAACTTGGTGTCATCTGCAAACAATGATGAGATGCGTCGAGGAGATAACAGTTTCAAGTCTCAGTTCTGGGATTCAAGGTTTTGATTTCTTTCCTGTGCAGTAGGTTTAAATTTAGCACTCCAGCAAGGGTATTCTCATAGAAACCAAGAGGGCTAGCCTTAAGAACTGAGGAGGGTGCTGAGTAATGCACCCTTTTGGGCAGTAACAAGGTGTGGGAGCAGAAGGTGGTGGTGCCACAACCATACTTTCTGGGGGTCCACTGATACAGGTATCAGAGAAGAGGATGTTTGGATGAGATTCCGCACTTTGTAAATGTAGCTCATGATCAAGGAATGTTATTTGCCTTTTGTTTTTCTCCACTCCTGACCAAATTTTCCTTTTACTTGCAGCTCAGTATTTCGCTAGCATCATGGTCATTGTTGGTCTGTCTGTGGTCGTAACAGTGCTGGTTCTGCAGTTTCACCATCATGACCCACAAGCAGGAAAGATGCCCAGATGGGTGAGTAGATTTGGTAGTAAATATTCAATAGCATTTAAAGAAAATTTGAAAGTTGTGGCAAGCTGACAAGGGACAGATGTTATTCCCCATTAACCTCAAGTGTCAACTATAAACAGTATGTTTTACACTATTATGTTTGATAATAGAGAGAGAACAAACATACTAATTTGGGGTTCTCTTAGAAAAAACATCAGTTGTTTGGGTTTTCTATTTAAACCTTAAACAGGGGTAGCTTGATTCATGGCAGAGTAATCTTTCTTCGCACCTGCTTTTCAAGGGCTGGCCCTGTGGGCAACACTTTTGATTTCTTATCCAGCAGACACCTCACATTTATTAGACTGAGCAGTTTGTCTGTTCTGTTCCCTTACAGAGAAGGGAGCAGCATTACGTTTTCTATTTAACGGCAGAGCTGTGATCTCCCAGAACAAAGGAAAGAGGAGAAGCTGATTAGCTTACCCTGTCTTACAAGCGAACCTGTTACAAGCTGGCTCCCAGAAATGCTGGAAAACCAGGAACTTCAATGCCTCTGCACTGAATACTGAACCCAACTGTGCTTCTCACAGCTTGGAGCAGGTTCCTGTTGCACCATCAGCAGAAAGGCAACACTCTTGGCCTCAGTCTGACTGCACTGACATCACTGACTCAGAAACTGCCATTTGCTGAGGCTGAATCCAGTAGTCTGGGTGGAAAATGAATTTTGTCTACTTCCATCTGATCACTTCTCAGTGCAGTTAACATGTGGACACACCTTCTCTACAGCAGAAGGCTCTGTTATCCTTGAGGTCTGGCACCTCTCCCAGATGCCTTTCAGTGGAGTGTATTTATTTTATATTTTGAAGTTAAAACATTTTTTTTCTCTCTCCATTACTGAGAATAGGTTTAGAATATGCAGAATATGCTTTGCTGTTAAAAAAAAAAAAAGAAAAGCAATGGAAGTATAAGCAGATACAAATAGTCATCTGAATATCCCAGTTTCACAGGCGTCTGTTTCTACAGCATCCTGTAGCATCTCATTTGCCACAGTTGTCATTCTAGACAATTACCCTGACATGATGTTAAACATCACATGATTACCAATGTCAGCCTGAAAACTGAAATGCTTTCTAATTTAGCTTCTCTAAAAATAAACTGCAGCATCAAAGCAAAATAAAAAAAAAAATTAAAAAGGAAGTCTAATACATATTAAGCTTTCTAAAAATTACTTCTTGATTTCAAGACTGGAGCACATGAATACATGGACAAAGTACACAGCAGTGTAATAGCTCCCAGGAGCAATTCTGCCATTTCTTCTGCTTCTTGAGAAGCCTAGGCACAATGGCTCACATTAAATATGGTCATAGATCCAGCAAGTCAGCTCTTGCTCTGTCTCAGTAGAGCAGGAGATCTTCTCAGGCCAAGTGGGTGTGTAGGAACACACAAGACAGGCATTATCTAGGAGGGAGTGGAGGGCAGAGGGGAATGGTGAGAGGAAAGGGAGTGGGTGGGTCTAGACTTGATGTTGTATAGATCTTGTTTACTCACCACTGACCTGTTGCTAAGTTTTGGGACTACCTATTGGTCTGTGCTTCTCAACATCAGGACCTAAGACTGCAAAGATAAAAACTACAGAGAAAGAAGACTTGTATGTGTACTCTGGGTTCTTGCCACAAAGCTGCTGAGATCCACTGTCAGTTAGCTGAAAAGACTGAGAGCAAGGAGCTCTCACTCCTGAAGAACCTGACTCAGTGCCCTGACTACTGAACTGGCACATATTAAAAAAGCACAAAAATGCACAAACAGAACAAACAAACAAACAAAAAACCACCACAACAATAGTGAAGTAAAAAGTATAGAAAGGCTATAGGGAAGGTCAGATGATAAACTGTGACAGCTGTAGACCAGGAAAGCTGACAGGCCTGTGGGATCTCGAGAAAAAAAGTGAATGCCAAATTTGCGGGGATGAGTTTGACACCACAGAAGTGGGTATTATTCCTCCACCAGTAAAAGGCCATGGTTCAGTTGTTAAGATTCACAGCATATTTTCCATTTTTATTTTTTCCTGTGCACCTATTTCAGGCAAATTACATTTTTATTTCAGATACATCCTTACAGACTTTTGCTCAATAATATACAGGAATTTAAGATAACTATCTGCAGAATCTAGGAAATTACTTGCTTGAATTTTTTCTCTGCAGTTCCAGTCTCAGCAGGTATCCTTACCATCCAATTACTCTCCACTGACTGGATGTTATTACAGGATTGTTTTTACTTCCTATTCAAATGCAAGTAACTGCTGGGAAAAGTTCCGGGGAAAGTCACTTTTTTATAAGTTTTATAAGGTTTATAAGGAAGCAACCCCGAAACTAGAGAGTTTAACTGACTGCATTACCTACACACCTGATTTATAAACTTTTCTCCATTGAATGGTTTTGTTTCCCTGCTCATCTCTCATCTCTCAAGAACTCTGTGTTTGGCCTTTGGACCAGAAAAGGTATCAGACAGGAGTGTTAGCATTTAGCCTCTCTGTAGCTTCACAGATGATAGTTTTACCCTCCTGTCTATTAATCTTTTGTTTCCTAGAGAGGAGCTTAAATTCACGGCATTCAGCCGCGGTATTTCTTAGTCATTCAGTTCAGAAGTGGGGGTTGCTGTCTACTTGGTACTCCCTCCACTCGCTGTGGAGCAGAGCACTAATGAGAGTCCAGCTAATTAGCACTTTGAGAGTAGATAATATCAGGCATGACTCTCTGCCCCATCAATACGCCTCTGCTGACAGCCAAAGATACTGCATTGTACATGAGAAATACAGGAAGATCAAGCACAAAGCAGGAAGGGGGCTTTGGGGTTCATTGGTTTTTAGGTTTTTCTTTGGATATACTTATATTTGGACCAGTTGATGCCATTGAACCAGCAAGCATAAATTTGTGCAGAAGCTTACTTCACTCCTCTCAAGAAGTGTAGTAGCTGGAGACCAATTTTCTAGATTTTCTGTGATTGGAACTGAGAATATATCTAAAGCAAAACAGTGTGATGCTTAGGGGAGGACCCTGGTGATCACAACAGCGATAGGCTGTTTACCCTTGAGGTGGCCTCACCTACGTCCTTCTTTCACAAGAAACCCGGAAATGACTGTGCAGATGAGAACGCATATTCATCCTACCCAGGCTGTTTTCTGACAGCCCCAGCGCTGCATCTGGGTTGAAAAGCACCACAATGATCATTTAGTTTCAACTCCCCTGCTATGTGCAGGGTCGCCTACCACCAGACCAGGCTGCCCAGAGCCACATCCAACCTGGCCTTGAATGCCTCCAGGGATTCAAACTCCTTGAGCAACCTGTTGCTCTGTGTGAAAAACTTCCTCCTAATATCTAACCTAAACCTCCCCTGCCTCAGTGTAAAACCATTCCCCTTGTCCTATCACTATCCACCCTGGTAAACAGCCATTCTCCCTCCTGTTTCTATGCTCCCTTCAAGTACTGGAAGGCCACAATGAACTCTTCCCAGAACTTTCTCTTTCCCAAGCTAAACAATCCCAGTTCCCTCAACCTTTCCTCACAGGAAAGGTGCTTCAGCCCTCTGATCATCTTAGAGGCTCTCCTCTGGATCCATTCTAAGAGCTCCACGTCCTTCCTGTACTGGGGGCCCCAGGCCTGGATGCAGTGCTGCAGATGGGGCCTCACAAGAGCTGAGTAGAAGGGGACAATCACCTCCCTCTCCCTGCTGGCCACCCTTTTTTAATGCAGCCCAGAACACAGTTGGCTTTCTGGGCTGCAAGAGCACACTGCTGGCCCATGTCCAGCTCCTCGTCTACCAGAACCCCCAAGTCTTTCTCTGCAGGGCTGCTCTCGTGGGGTTCTTCACCCAGTCTCTATAAACACCTGGGATTGCCCCAGCCCAAGTGTAGCACCCCGCACTTGCGCACTTGGCCTTAATGAACCTCATTAGGTTCTCTTCAGCCCACTTCTCCTGCCTGTCCATCTTGAAAGGATGTCATGGTTTTATGATTTTTGGTTATCAGAGTTGCACACCATAACATCATGTAATGCACTGGGGGGTATGTTCATATGGTTTTTCGCCTAACATCTCTTTCCAGAGCTAACAGATATATTAAAATTTTTGAGTAAGAAAGTTTGCCTAAGCCATTACTTTAACACTGTTAACATATTGTTAGCAATTAACACCTTATTTTGCTCCATGATGTTTCACCTTGTGTCCATAATATGTCATATGACACTGTAATTAAGTAAGTTTAATTAAATCCGGTATGGATTTTTTTAAGTTGCTGCATTACATTTTTCTGTTTATTTTTAGTGACTGTGCAGGAAATAATGAAAGATTTAAAGCCCTCAAGATAAGCAGAATAATTGGAAACAGGAAATAGCCCTTCAGGATAAAGAATAAATGATTCATTAGGAGGAGAGAAGCAGAAAGGCTTGCAGAAAATGGCATAAGTCTGCAAACCAGCAGAACTCTCACTATAGAATTTCAAAGTTGTGTAAACATCTTTCACAGACCATTGCTTTGGCTCTTTATTATTGTTATTCCCACTTGTGGTAATTAATGCCTTCTCTTTTCTGAAATTGTGCTTGTCTTTACAGTTGCAGCTCAAAGTGTCAGCTGCAGTTTCCCCATCCCTGCATCTGCACTGTGCAGGGGAACAACTCAACCTGTATCTGAAACCACCATAGAGGCAAAGTGTGGTGATGACTTCTGTGTGGCTGTAGTGTCTGAAGCAGGATCACAGAGGGAGTCTTGCTCTTTCTGAAACAAGCACATTTAGATTCCTCAAGCGAAAAAAAACAAGTTTGTTTATTTAAACAACAGGGATGGGGGAGTATGCTAAAAATAACTATTAATCTGATGTGGAATTTTTTCAGCAGAATCCAAACCTTTGTTTCTCAGTTCTGTAAGTATTGGTCCTTCCACGCTATCTGAGAAGTGGTTGAAAAAGAATGCAGCCAGTTTTATGCACATTTGCAGCGGTCTAGGATTATTTGCAAACTGTAGGACTTTAAAAATCGTAATGTAAAATTTTACATCCATTATGCTTTGCACCTGCAGAGGACATTGAACATCTGTTTGTTCTAGGCATATCCATAACGGATTTGTCTCAGGAAGAAGCCAGATGCAAAACTACTACATTTGAAAGCAGATACCTCATGAAGCAGGCAGTCATTCCAGCAGAACGTACATATTGACTGTGACAATGACTAAATGTTTCAAAAACTGCTAAAATGGACAAAAATTCTCTTTCCTTATGTTATGTTCCCTTTCTTTCAGGTCCGTGTCATTCTGCTGAACTGGTGTGCTTGGTTTCTACGTATGAAAAAACCCGGGGAAAATATAAAGCCCCTCTCTTGTAAATATGGCTATTCCAAGCACCATCCACGCCTGAAAAATACAGAGATGAATGTCCTACCTGGGCACCAGCCCAGCAATGGCAATATGATTTATAGCTACCACACAATGGAAAATCCATGCTGCCCCCAGAACAATTATCTGGGTAGCAAGACTGGAAAGATTACTTGCCCCTTGCCAGAAGATAATGAGCATGCTCAAAAAAAGGCTTTAATGGATACCATCCCAGTGATTGTGAAGATACTGGAGGAAGTTCAGTTCATTGCAACGCGCTTCAGGAAGCAAGATGAGGGTGAAGAGATCTGCAGTGAGTGGAAGTTTGCAGCTGCAGTCATAGACAGATTATGCCTGGTTGCATTTACCCTTTTTGCCATCATTTGCACATTTACAATACTCATGTCTGCTCCCAACTTTATAGAAGCTGTTTCAAAGGATTTTACGTAAGCATTTCAAATATGAACACAAAGAGCTGAAAGATAACTTTAAAGTAAATATCATCAGTACTATTGCTAGATAATTTAACTCAAAACAGAGAAGTGTACTTTTATGTGCTGACATACACAGAAGGGGATAAAATTAATTTCAGGAGATAATTATTTCTGATGTTAGTAATAGTAGTTACTGAATAGTATACATACTGACCTCTTACTTAATTCCCAGACAACTTCCACATATAACTATGTTATCATCTGCTACAAAAAATAGAAAAAATAATCCAAATCCACAATGTATTTATTAGAAGTTAACACCAATGTAAATGTGTTATTTTATCTTTGTGAACTTTTAAATATTGTAATAATTTAAAAGATAGATTAATGACTAGAAGCAGCATTTTGTGGTTTTCAATATCTCTATGTTTTGTCATATTTGTTTAATGTGGCTGTGACATCTTCTTCTCAGATTTGACAGGCATCTCTCTGCAGCTTTATGAGGCTGCATACTGCATATAAGAAAATAAACTATTATCATGTTAGCTCCTAATAGTGCAGTGTCTCATATTACTTCTTTTGTTAGTTTGTTTCCAATATAGAAAATGTTGGCTGTTGAGGATGGAAAGAAAATTCATTTTCCACGATGACAATCATGTATATTTTTAATGGCACCTTCCACCCTACTCATCATTGCTCCTTAACATCTTAATTTGAAATATTTCTGATCTGTGATGCGTCACAGTTGCCAACCTAGAGAGATTAAATCTATATAATTAGTGCAAAATTTTAGCTTCACATCATCTGTAGAAAATTTCCTATTGATTCCTTTGGGGCTAGATTCCACATTTATTCCCCATAATCTACACAACCCTTAAACAGCATTTTATACACGTTCTTTTATTACTGTCTGTTTTCAAAGGATTGCATAAGAGATTATTTATCATTATTATTATTAGTATTATTGCTAAATTTCCTTACAGCAATATTTAGTATCAATTAAAAAAAAAAGAAATTGCTTATATGTCACTTGCCTGGAAGATAGCTGCAATAAAGCACTCCTCTCAATACTTTCATTCCATTCACTGCTCTGCATGGCAATAGGACTTCTCTTGGTGTGATTTTGATTTGTTACCTGATCACCACAGGCCTGCAGAAGGATATGGTCTGGTGTATACACCTTCTGTCCCTGGGATAACAGCACTTTTCTGAAAGTTCATTGAAGTAATAAACAACTTATTGTTATTTTTGGCTGATTTCCATCTTCTTTTTCTTCCAAGTGTTAGTTCTTCAAAATTAACATCTCCTCTACCCATGTGATGGGTCCTTACCACCATCCATGTTGAAGAAAAAGAAGCAAATCAGGGGTAAATATTTCCATTTCAAAGGGGATGGTGAAGCTGGCCTGGTTTCCATTTTACATAGCTTTTGTATTCTTGCAGTTTCTTTAGTACTGGGTGCAGCTCAGAGAGGTAACAAAGACTTATGGTAAAAACCTCTTTAAAAGGTTTTTCTGTATTTCTCAGATCTTGTTCTCCTTCACGGGAGAACTTTGTCTCTAAGCAGCTCTTCCTGGGCCAGCAGGACAAAACGCCCACAATCCTTCCTTTTTCCTCCTGTCCATCTTACTGCTTCCACTAATGAAAGTGGCCTTGCAGAGTGGAATTGAAGAGCAGTCTGCCTAACAGAAATAACTGAACTACAGTATTGGTTTGGGGCTTTGAGTTACTCTTATATCAGGCTCTGCTCCTGGGCTGCAGCTGAAATGCTCACAGTAAATTACCGCTTTAATCACAGGGACAATACATAAATTAAAAAGCCTAAGTATTCATTTACTTCTGCAACTAATGATGCAGAATCCTAAATGACTTTTAGAACGCTTGCTCAAGGACCACTAATATTTTTTCTTGAAAATCTCTGTTTTTGAAAGTAATCTCCACTGACAGGAGAAAAAGATAAAAGCTAATGTTAAAGCACAGAGTCAGAATAGCTTAGTGTTCTAATGCAAACCATGTTCTTTACATGAAACACAGTTTTGTCAGATAAGTCTGCTTTCAACTGAATCTATGTATTTTAGGATTAGAAGGAGGTCAGAAGTTGTCTGAAAACAGCAATGGAAAATTAATTTTAATCATCTTTATTTGATAAACTCCAGTGCAAATAAAAATCTCAGTTTACAGAGTACTATCTAATACTGCTCCATGGCCAGCCTATATGAAAATATCCTAAAATTCAATTTCTGTCAGCTGTATGAAGTTTATACATTTTTATACTGGACGGATACTGTTTTCTGCTTACTTGTTCGGATAATAAAGTAAGGCAGATCTTTTTGACATTGAGCAGCCACTTGGCCTTCTGGGAAGTAAGAGGACCATCAGCACAGTATTTGCAGTATGACCTAGTTTAAAATGGTGCAACAAATATTTGCCGTGCATACAGAAAAATGGAGTATTGTAAGATTTTCCTGAGGACTGCAGCACACTTGGAAAAGTTGATGCATCACCTGTGTATATGTATTTACAGCCCTTCATGGCATCGCTAGATAGTGTCACAGTGTACCTGTCAAAGTATTACATAATTCTAACAGTAGGAAAAATTGGATAAATAGCGACAAGAAACTATAGCCCATAATACTTCTTACTAAGTCCAGGCACTTACCCAGATGTTACATAAAAAATGATCATCCACAGGAAACAGGGACAGGACGCTCAAGGTTCTTCTGCATTTTATCTCACAGAAGGTGTGGAAAGTTTCTGATGTGGAGGTATTCAGCACTGATTTATTCATGAAGCATAGAAAATAATAGATATCATCAATACATAATTTTCACTTTGACTCAATACCAGTTTTTCTGAAGTGTCTTAGCTGTCTTATCTCAGGTATACATGCATATATCTGAAAAAATGTGGTTTTCTATCTTAGAATATTGGTAATCATCCTTAAAAGTCTGCTACCTTATACCTGCTACCAGGAGAAATAAGGCTGTACAACTTCTGTTAGCGAATATCAAGAATCTGATATTCACTCTTTCTCTTATGCATAGGTCTCCCCTGCAGTGCAGGCCCTGGAACTGAACACAATACCCCAAATGTGCCTTCAGCAATAACGAGGAGAAGGAAGGATCACCTCACTTGATATTTTGAGAAATGCAGCCATATCAAGCATAATAAGACAAAAAAGTACTCAAACCAGATCTCTCAGGCTATGTCTTCCAGCAACACAGAAACTAATGGGATTATACCTAGTTATGTCAGCAGAGGATCTATCTACTCAGAGCGCACACTTCCCTCTTCACGGCTTATACAGTGGTTATAGACCTCACACATTTTTTTGTGTCTCAAAATAAAAGATAACTGCAGAACAATTCTATTTCCTAAAGTTGTTCTAAAATCAGTGTTCTTTTTTTATGTTCTACACAGAAAAAATTGAATAATAGTTCAAGTAAAATTACAGTATTTCAGACCTATCACAAAACAGAAACAAATTAAACAGCTTCAAATTATTGAGGCCAGTAATAGCCCAAAGGCACACAGGGGCAGGCCTTTGAGCAAAACATGGTGTAAGATTTACTGTGTCTGGCCTGTTTGCATATTGGCTGCTCAGAAGTGTTTGCCTGGGAAAAGAAGATAGCATTTCTAAATGGATTTGTAAGTCTTAGGTGATTAGAAAGATCATCTACTTAAATAGATTTTCACAATGATGCACTATAGCAAAAATACACATCCTTTCTTTCACTAGAGAAAATAACATCCTTTTCTAGCAAGCAGCTTTTATTACTTATTCCCTTAGCTCTTATTTTCATTTATTTGCTAGAAGGAAATTTTAACACTTTCATCACCTGATATTTGTAAATCTCATAACCGTTTCTATGCTTACCAAGCAGTCACAACCGTGCTGGTGAAACTGCACTGCACTGAAGCTGCTTTGATTCCTACTGATGTACTGAAGGGGTGTGGCACTCCTCATTGTGTTCATCTGACTGAATTCAGTGGGAACTGTTTCACTGGCTTGCCTGAATGCAGCACTGGGGCTTTTACTGCTGCACCACAGAATGCCAAGTGCTCTCTCTGGCACTGTAAATATGCTGCCACTTCTCTCTTCCATGGAATCACATAGAATCACCAAGGTTGGAAAAGACTGCCAAGATCATCTGGTCCAACTGTAGCCCCATGAAAGAGAATCGTCTGAATGGTGAATGGAAGATGTGGGAAGAACTCAGCTGGAAAAGGAGCTGAAATGGAGTTAACTGCACTTTTCATGTATTTTTGTCAAGTTTTCATGTCTTCTGTCAAATGCAAGGAGGCTTTTCTCATTAAGGAAAATGACGAAATCACCAAAGCAGTTGCTTAATAAACTGAATTAGCCATGCACTGAAATCTCTCTTGATACTTACCTGAGCTGTGGTCTGTTGCTCATTGCAATTTTCTATATGTGTCTTGAAAAACAACAGAGCAGGAGGAGCTGACACATTGATTTTCCCCTCCCAACCATCATTTCCACGTAGCTAGGTACTATTTACATCACTAGCCATTTACATCACTAGGTGAATAATTTGAAAGTGACTATTAACACTACAGTTTGTCTCTGTAATGCACTTTTAATCATCTTCTGAATCACTTAATTACAGAAACACAGAATCGTAGGGGTGGGAGGGATATCTGGAGGTCATCAAAGTTATGGTCAGGTATATTTCCTCTGTTTAAAAATCAAAGTGCAGCAATTTTTTTGTGCATATGAAAAATTCTGGCTTTTTATATATCAATATTTACTCTTTCTTTATGTTAAACTGGCATCACCATGAGTACACTTCTGTTAGAAGTGAGTTGATTAAAGAATGAATCAATTTTCACTCTTTTTAACTATCAGTCTTCATGATACAGAAAGGCAGAAAGATATGTGACACTGCCATACCAGAGAGTTCTGACCAAGCACTTCAACAACTTCATCACTGCTTTTCCTCATCATTGTGTTGTTGGAGATTATTACAACTAAAGTATTCAACTCTTTACAATGGAT